GCTCACCGGAAGCACTTTTTCATCAAAAAAAGATGGCGGCGCCCAGCTGATGCCGGTACCGGGCCGCGGCGCCCAGCTGATGCCGGTACCGGGCCGCGGCGTCAAAAAGGTTGGGGATCACTGCATTAGACAGAAGCTGTGAGAATCATGTGGGAAAAAACTCTCTGTTTAGTTGTCTTAACATACAGTGTCCCATAGCACCATTCCAAGGTGAAATAGTTTATTTCCATGTCTGCAGATATCATCTCAGTCCTCCTTCTGGCCTGTGTAATATACACGTCTTCTATGGAAGGAAAGCTGGTTGCCATTATTCTTTCTGCAGTGTTGACTATCTGTTGATGTCTGTACCTGTTCTGTTTGGTTGCTGTACTAAACCAGAGAATTACAGAAGTACAAATAATAAGACTCAATAATTCCTCTGTAAAGCTATATCAGCAGCTTCTGGGAGAGTCTGAACATTCTGACTTGATGCAGAAGAACATTATTTGTTGTGCTGAGGTATAGGTTTTGCAGCTGAAATACTAAAAAAGAGAATTTCATCACTTTTCAGGATGATTGACTGGTTGTCCTGGCCATTAGCTCAGCATGTGGAGACCTGGGTGATAGCACTACTGAAAGGACTGGCTGCAGTTCAGAAGTTTACTATCCTTATTGATGTTACTTTGCTTAAGATTGAATTGGTAAGTAGTATTATCAATGATTATTAGAATTTTGTTGTAATAAAATTGTAAACAGGTTGCTTTTTTATAAAAATTCTTTACTTTAATTTGTGTATTTGTAAATATATGATACAGAATTATAATACTGCTGTACATTTCTTATTTTTAATAACAATTCTTCCTTTTCCTGAAAGGTATTTAATCGCCTTTGGTTTCCTCTGGTGAGACCTGGTGCTTTGGCTGTCCTTTCTCATATGCTGCTCAGTTTTCAGCATTCTCCAGAGGCTTTTCACTTGGTGAGTTTTATCTTTTTTTGCTTTAAAACTCACTGAAAAAGAAAATATCTATAACCATGCCATTTCACTATTATATCAATAAAACCAAAACCACATTCTTACAACCCAGAAAAAAAAGAATCATAATTTTTGATTATATTAAAATTGATTCTTATCTTCCTCAATCTTAATGATTTATGTCATGTAACATAATTTAAAACAAATCTAAATAACAGTAATTTAAATAATTTGTTATTTATCTACATAAAAATGTAAAATCTAGTAAGGAGAGAGATACTTCGCAGAATTTTGTTGCTGATGTCTAACATTTTCTTTCTAAAAATGTTATATCAGATGGTTACTCCAGTGTTATTCCAGCCAAAACGTCTTTGACCCTATAGAATTTTTTTGCATTCCTTCATGTAGCCCCCTCCAATACACCTATTTGATAACCTTATGGAATAGAAATGGCTCATGCAGAATGAAAGTGAAATAATCAAAATTGATTTCCTAGTTTGCTTCATGGAAGCTTCAACTGAATTTAAACAGTCTGTCTTCGGTGAATTTGGATGTAATTAATTTTATTTGTGACTTTGCTACAGATGTCTGTTACAAAGAACAGCATGCATTATAATTTAGCAACAATGCAAATTAAACTAAAAATTATAGGAACGAACGATCAAAGGTGTACTCTGCTAATTCTAAAATGATGGAATATTCTTTTTAGCACTTTCATAAGTTTTTTTCTTATTTCCTAGCAGAAGTGGAAAATTATGGAGCTGTAAAATTAATTTCAGGAATACGTCATAAAAATAGGGTGTTTTATATATTTGCAGACTTACCATACATTTTAAAACCTTAATAAATGTTTCAATCACAACATGTAGAGTAACAATGTATTAATATTGGCTATCCTTATTTCTACCCCAATAGAATGTGAAATTATATTTCTTAACTTGAAGTTGCTCATTTAAAATATATAGATAAAACTGATCAATTAAGATTTTCAGGTGAATAGAAATATCATAGTTAATATGTTGTGACTTCATAATATAGTAATTTTCTTTAAAATGTATTATGTTCAACAAGCAAGCCAATCATTAATCTATTTATCTTAAAATTAGATTGTTCCACATGTGGTTAAACTGGTAATATCGGTCAAAAGTAATGGTCTGCCTACCAGCACAGCATTCTTAGAACAACTGAGTGAATTAATGCACTGTATGATGTACCATTACTCTGGATTCCCAGAACTTTATGAACCCATTCTAGAAGCAATAAAGGTATGCAAACACAAATATTTCAGTACTGAAGGATTTAAACATCATTTTTATTCCTATGCATAAAAATTGTGTCGGCTATTTTCAGATTTCAGGAAAAAGTAATTAAAAACATTGAAATTATCAGAGCAAAAGATAACACTGTTATGTCTTGAAATTTATCCATAAAAGAAATACATTACCATAAAAGAAAATGGTAATTTATATTTTTACTTCAATGTGGGAAGATTTTCATAGAGGTGTTTCTTCATTATTAAAAAGAAAGTCATTTTAGCTAATTCTTTGATATCAGAGGTTGCTGTTTAAACTAGCTCAACAATTGCCAGATTAGAAAAAAGATTTTCACATTTTTGTTAGCAAGGGAAGAGTGTTTTAGAAAATATGTGTATAGATATATGTAATAAACTTCCACAAGATGTCAGGCAATGTCTGTAACGATGGATTGGTGAGCACTTAGCTTTGATCTTTGATTTGCACTCCAAGAAATAAAAATATAGTGAACAAGATGGTTATATGTTGTTGTCAGTTTACAAATAGAACAGAGGCTGCTTGGCTACTCTTTTAGAAGATATAAATGTCATGAAAACACTTTCATAACACTCGCTGTTTGATTTGTCTCTCTGTTTTCATTATAGGAGCTTTCCAAACCCAATGAAGAAAAAATTAAGATTATACTGAATCAGAGTGCCTGGACATCTCAGTCCAGTTCCTTGCAATCTTGTCTGTCTAGATTTTCTGGAAAATCTGAAACTGGAAAGACTGGTCTAATTAATTTAGGAAATACTTGTTACATGAACAGTGTGATTCAAGCACTATTTATGGCTACAGAGTAAGTCTAATCCTATTTTAAGGCTTGCAACTTTTTGTGTATGCAATATATTTAAAAAAAAATACATGGCATTTTTAAAATTTAAGATCTAAACAGTCTCTACCATCCTGGCATTTCAAAGTGCCCTGAAGACAGCTGTTGATGATGACAACTAGCACCCATTTTCTTCCTTTTCCTTGTTACCATCTAGGCTTGTTTACTTTACCATCTTTATTTTTTGTTCCTTGTTTTGTTCCTTGTTTTTAAATGTTTTGAACCATTTGTAAATGCCCAGAATAGCTGGGAGTTGAATGGCATGTAAATTTATGTTATTATTATTTCTACTACTAGTTCTGTGCTGGCTTGAATATGGTAGTAAGAATCTGAGTAAATAGCAGAATGTGTGTCCTTGCTTCAGTTCACATCGTGATTAAAGAAAATCAATAATAAAATTTTATTTTGTCATTGACCAGCAAATAAAACAAGAAAATTACAATTATTTAGGATATAAATACCAGGAATATATAGGTAGACAGCGGGGAGGTAGGTAGCAGTGCAGGAGAGAATGGTTGTGTGCGCGCAACCTAACTCTGCAAATGAGCAAAGAAAGTTTTGCATGCTCTCCCGTCCCTTGTGTGGCCTGGTTCCCAAAAGATTGCAAACTGGCACCAATCTGGAGCCTGGGGGTTGAGAACCCCTGAGTTAATTGCCAAACATATTTCTATAGTAGAAGGAAATTTAAAGGCATCCCCTCTGCATTATTTATAATTGGATAAATTTATTTGAAGGCTGCTTCTCCAACCCCCCCCCCCCCTTTAAATTTTAAACCAAAGCAGTCATTTCCCAAAGTGATTAAATTGTTCTTTGAAAGTATGGCTTAGCATTAAGATTTAATTCAAGTTTGAGCAGTCTTATATTGCTAATATGATTTGGAGCATAGTTAAATTATTTTAAATTAGGTTAGTAAACACACTTGAAACATTGGATTGTCTTTGTATAACTTTGTATTTGAAAACATGATCTCATTTTTTTTTTTGCAGTTTCAGAAGACATGTGTTATCATTAAATCTAAATGGGTGCAATTCACTAATGAGAAAATTGCAACATCTTTTTGCATTTCTTGCTCATACACAGGTCTGTATTGTTTTTTGAAAATTAAAATAATATTGCAAAAAAGGGTTTTTTGGCCTTATGTGTAATTATGGAATATTTGAATTTTTTATAAATCAGTAGAAAATGCAGACCATTTTGTTTCATCTCTGAAATGTTGAAAGAAGAATTGGATACTTGTGGAAAAAGTGCAGATTGGTTGAAACTGGGCACTATACTGATACCATACTCTTAAAATTGTAAGATGGTCTCATAAAACAGTAATTTTAAGTGAGATATAATCAAGTGTTTTATTCAAACAAGTTAAAGTAATACATTAAGAGGTTAGGATTAATGTCCAAAATTACTTTGGAAAAGGACATGAAACAATTCTCGTTGCATTCAAATACATAAAATTTCATTAGTCTTTAATAATGATGATTATTTTTCCTATATTTCAAATATACTTTTTAATTCTAAATTCATATTCAAGATTAAATTTGAATATGAAATAGGGAAATAGATACTTCAATATTTGGATTTATTCTGCAGCCAAAACAGTTCGTTAATCCTTTAGCTTTTCCACTATGCCATAGTAGGTGAGAAAGACTGAGAAGTGGGATGAAGGGATCATGTCTAGGGAAGAACCAGGTATGAGAGTACTTCCTGCAGCTGCATAAACCTCCCTAACTTCTCAGGCTTTCAATGAAAAATGGTTGGAGATTTGTACTTTTACATTTGCAAGATTCCGTTAATGTAGCCTTATAATAAATGAGAAGTAACTTGTGTGGGTCTCTTTCCTATCTGAAATGCCTGGGAAGGCGGACATCTACTATACTTGCCTCCTTTTCACTTGATTTCTGTTTTTTATAAATTATGAAGTGCTTTGTAGAATAGTGTCAGTGTTTGAAATTTGTTTTGTCTTATTTGTTTGTTTTTATCTAGAGGGATGCCTATGCTCCTCGGCTTTTCTTTGAGGCGTCTAGGCCTCCTTGGTTTACTTCCAGATCTCAGCAGGACTGCTCTGAATATCTTAGGTTCCTGCTAGACAGGTAATTACAATCTGAATTCATCATCCAAGACATTATTTTTAAATAACATTTTATATGCAAAATATGTTGTAGGCAATGCATTTCTTGTAACATTGTTGGGTAAGAAGTATTTACCATAAACGTCTTCCACAGAGAGCTACAAAACTTGAAGCAGTATTCCCAATATTCAGATACAAAAAAATATAGTACTGTATCTTTGTAAAAAAAAAATATTACTTAAAAATAAATTAGTTGAATTTTATATGGTCTGAAATAATAAGCTTTGCTTTGGATGTGTGATATCTCAGTCACAGTCTCTTTCGATATAATCTTGGTTTTCAGTTACTGTTACCTAAAAACCATTTGAATCTCTGCAGTGGAATGTTTCTCTGTTTATAAAATCCATATGATACATCAAACAGCTGAAACTTTACCCCAGTTAGAGCTGAACTAAAGTAAAGTAACTCTTAGAATTAAAGCAATGGAGCAGAGTGTATTTGTAGTTGGGCGGACAGCATTAAAACTATAGTATTTTATTCCACACTACTTTTGTCTAGTAAAAAATTGGTTGTGTGTATAAGATACTGAAACATAGTAATGTATCAAATAGGTAAACTGGTGGAGAACAATATAACTTGAATAGAACTATTTTTCCCCCTAAGGCTACATGAAGAAGAGAGAACCTTGAAAGTTTTGTCTTCATCAAAGCTTCCCGAGGAAATGAATGAAGGGTCCCTGGTCCAAGAAGTAGCCAACAAATCTCAAATGCTTATCAAGCAGTCATGTTCAGTGAAAGAGGAGAGAACCTTGATAGAAAAAATGTTTCGAGGGAAACTACAAACAAGCATATGCTGTTTAAATTGCAAAAGTACTTCTCATAAAGAAGAAGCCTTCACAGATCTTTCACTTGCTTTTTGTCCTCCAGTATTCTTTAAAAATGTTAGCCCACCAACTGTAGAACATTCATCTGATGAGAAAGATGACTCCATGGAACAAGTCAGTGCTAGGGCATTGAGCCCTGTGACAGAGATGCCATCGGGTGTGGTCACAGTTGGTGATTCCTGTGAAATGGTCACAAACGATGGGACTTTGAAAGATGCCCCCAGTGACTCAAATTCTGAAACTGTTTCTGATCCTTTTATCTGTAAGACTGAAGCTGGGGATAACTTGAAGAAACACATCAGTGAAGTTACTCCTTCAGTTACTGATTTGCTAAATTATTTTTTGGCACCTGAAGTTCTTAAAGGGGATAACAAATACTTTTGTGAAAAATGTGCCTCTTTACAAAATGCAGAAAAAATTATGCAGATTGTAGAGGAGCCAGAATACCTCATCCTTACACTTTTGAGATTTTCATATGATCCCAAGTGTCATATTAGGCGCAAAATCCTAGACAATGTGTCTCTTCCGCTTGTTCTAGAATTACCTGTTAATAGAACTCTCTCATCCTTAAGTACATTGTCGGGCATTTGGTCTATGAGTGTTGAGTTTTCTGACACAGGGGAGAATCTGGCTAAAAAACTAAAGCCTTCTGGTGCTGAAGAAGTCAGTTGCCCTCAACTAATCCCTTATGTATTAAGTTCTGTAGTTGTTCACTCTGGCATATCTTCTGAAAGTGGACATTATTATTCTTATGCAAGAAATGTTGCTAATTCAGGGTCTTCGCTAGGATCTTTTGATCAGTCCCAAACTCTGGCTTTAGCTTACCCTCAGAGCAATTTAACTGCAGCTACTGAAAAGGATCTGGATGAAAATGAAGTCTCAAAGGAGTGGTTTCTATTTAATGACAGCAGAGTGACCTTCACCTCATTTCAATCAGTCCAAAAAATTACAAGCAGGTTCCCCAAAGATACTGCTTATGTGCTGGTTTACAAAAAACAAAACAGTGCTGGGACTATCAGTGCAAAATCAGCCAGTGGGCTCTGGATCAACGGAGATCCCCCTCTGCAGAAGGAACTTATGGATGCAATTACAAAAGACAATAAGCTGTATTTGCAGGTAAGGGGCAGATATTAATCAGTTGTATAATTACTGTAAATGTGGACTGTATAATATAAGATTGGGAATACAAATTTAGGTAGATTATTCTGATTAATCAGCATTGTTAAGATAATGTTACGGATTGCTAAATTTTAGTATTCCCAGATTTCTGGCAAAGGAAAACCTTAAATATTTTCTGAACTGAAGTAACGTAGTTCTTTCAGAATAGAATAGAATAGAATAGAATAGAATAGAATAGAATAGAATAGAATTCTTTATTGGCAAAGTGTGCATATGCTCTTAGTATACATGAAAAGAAAAAAATCAAGAATCATAAGATACAACAGTGATAATAATAGGTTACTAAATAAGCAATCAAATCATACTAGGAAACTTTTAGATTTGGAACTACAATCATAATAACTTTTTTATAAAGTATTTTATTATTATATTTATTTTTCACCCATCTCACAGTTTGAGATGAATCTGAGTGGCTGTGACTCTGCTGCCAGCTCTGTCAGACGCCGGTGGGCCACAATGGGATTTTGTGATCTGTACTTGTTGAATATATAAATATTATGATTATATAATAAAGGCTTTGCATGAAAAAAAGTCATTTAAAAACTCAGGGTACTGTAAACCACAATTTAGAATTCAGCTTGACAAAAAGCTGTCCCTAAGGTTTAGGCTGATTTGAGAAGAATTTACTAATTTACTACACCCTTATTTTTAGAAGAATAAAGAGGCTTAAAACCTTTTCTAGCTGTGCAGAGTTTAAAAGTAAGGCAACCTTTCTCTTTTACTTCTTATGGCTTTCAATGAGGTTTGACAAGATGGCAGTTCCCTTCTTGTTCCCCTCAATTAAATAATCTTGTCAGATGGGATTTAGGAAATGTACCTCTGGATGATTGCATCTGTTCTGTAAAATAGCCTCTCCCCCAACATTGAAATGTCCTTGATCCTGGTGACCTTCTGTAATACATGAAAAACTTGATAATTCCTCTGGTAATTGAACCAGGAAATCAAGTATGGTAATTGTTGTTGATATTTTAAATTTTGATTTGTTGTTTGCCATCCAGGGTCATAAATCAAAGGGGTGGCGCTATATAGCTAGTTAATTAATAACATTGAATCTATATTTACAATGCTGAAAGCTGAATTGAACTTCCAGTTGTGTTTGCAGGATCAGTACATTCCATTAGTGCAAGAGAGTAATATTAAGGTTTGTGATTGGCCATACTAATGAATGTGACAGCTGAGAAAGTGAAAGAAACCCTAGGCAAGGTTAGTCCTGCTTATGCAAAAGATCTGATTGGTAGATATTATAATGAACAAATAAAATTACTGGCCATAATTTGTGTCAGTTCCAGAAATCATAATATTCAGTGCTGAAGTTACTACACTGTATATTATTTGTAAGAATCACAACTACCCAAATCTATCAAATCTCTGAAGTGCTTTGGGTCCACTTTTCTTGATTAATAAATCTGCTTCAGTGGGTTGATTCAGTCAATGTTCTGTTGAATCTATTGACCCATTCAAAATATTACACAGTTCTACCAGTTAATAGATGTAATATTCAATGGGAATAAAAAGGATAGGAATGCTGATCATTTGAGTCCTTGATCTGTTATACATCTTATTAATCCATGGTTTGAACAGAACTGAAAACGTATCCAAAAAGCTTGTCAAAGGATTTATATAGCATTCCTGCAAAACTAGTATTTGATGTTCTTAATTGTTTACTTAATTTAATAAACAATTTTGCCTCCACCCCTAAATCCGTGAGGGGAAACTTATGGCATGTGTGCCGGAAGTGGCACGTAGAGCCATTTCTACTGGCATGCAAGCGGTCACCCAGAACAGACCCACTGCGCATGTGCACGCACGCCTCTGCCAGACAGCTGATTGTTGGGTATCTGCCACGCAAGCGCAGGGGGAGATGCATGCGCGGGAGATGTGCATGTACATGGAGTGGGGCATACACGGGAGATGTGCGTGCATGCACAGGGGTGGGGCATGTGTGGGCGGGGGTGCATGCGCAGGGGGAGGGGGCTCACATGCACATTGCATTATGGGTGCAGGCGCGCGCACGCAATTTCCGGCACGCGATGACGAAAAGGTTAGCCATCACTGCCCTAAATCAATCATTGCAAAACTAAGAATGTCTTCATATAGAAGTTGGTGTTTTTTTCATCTATAGGCAGACTAATTAGAACTGTACAAGCTATTTTTTCCAGAATGTTTTGGGGAAATACTAGAATTATGCTGAATCTAGTGTCTTGTTAAAATATGTTAAAGAAATTTAAAATGTTACAAGATCCAATCTGAGTCAGTCACCAGGACCAAAGGTATATTTTCCTTCATCTACGAAATTTGAAACGTTCTGGAGTAGTTATAGAGGTCCTTAAGTTTAAAACAAAAGTTTCTAAAACAAGTAAAAAAAAAACTGGATACTTCTGGTTTATTTTGTAGGGTGTTTATGTTTTATAGGGTCACCATTCAAGAAGTATTGGATAAAACTATTTGATATAGCTATGTCATGTGTATAATTCTGTTTCCTATTTTTTTCCCCTCCTGAAATTTGCATCACAATCAATTTTCTTAAAACCAATGTGTCTGTGTGTGTGTGAGACCACCATTCATTTTTTTCTTTCTTTTAGGAACAAGAGCTTAGTGCTCGAACCCAGGCTCTAGAAGCATCTGCAGCTTCCTGTTCTTTTCGGCCAAATGGATTTGATGACAATGATCCCCCAGGGAGTTGTGGTCCAACTGGTGGAGGTGGTGGGGGAGGATTTAGTACTGTTGGCAGGCTTGTATTTTAAGGAAGATTGCATTGGTTTATAAACAGCTTTGATTCCTGCACAGGAGTGCTAATGTTACTGAACTGTATTAAATAATGTCCCAAGCTTTTTTCAAGATGTGATTTTTGTTTTAAAAACAACTTTTGTTTTTTGTTTTTATTTGAAATAAATAAGTGCATCATGGAGAAATCTACCTCTTAAATTCACTTGTTTTTTGGAAGATCTTCTTGGCCAAAAAGGAAATAAACTTAAAAAATAATAATATAGATCAATATAAAGCACTTAAACATTTAATTCTAAGTACAGTGATAAAATAATATTTGAAAAAAGACCTGTTTATGTGACACCAACAATGCTTGTATTTGTTTTTATTTTATTTCTTAAATATGTAAATTGTCAAAGGCATTAGAAATGATAACTATTAAATGGAAATCTAATCTTTTAAACAATGTAACCCAGAATAACAAAAGCTCTAATTCAATATATTTGTATTACAAGTACAGGTATGTAAAAAATCAATTTCATGTGCTTGTTAAGTCACTTTTCTAAATGGATGTGAAAGTTTTTTGGGGGGAAGAAAAACATTTGTAGTATTTCTTATTGCTTTGAGGATTTTAAAATTATTTCAGGGAGTACATCTTGCTTTGAAGGAAGAGTTTCTATGTGCCTTGCCATACTGTAACAAAGTACAAATTTTTTGAAGCTGAAGAAAGGTGTAGAACATGAGTTGTTAATTTCTTGTTTAATATGAAGTTCATGAATTTTTGAAAAGTGTTAGCTTCTCCAAAAGTAAAGTCTGATGGTTCCAAAAATATAGTAGTTGCTCATATATTTTTAGTAATAATACTGGTTAAAACTTTTTGCATTGAAAATTATCACTGCTGTTTAAAAATTGGAAGTTAAGTTTTACATATATTGCTGAGATTAAACCTGTTGGGGTCATATTTGCTAATTTTATGGTAGTTGGCAAGAAACTTCTTTTCCTCATGTGAATCTTATGTAGAATTTTTTTCATATATCCTGTTGCATATCAAGATTATTCAGTGAATATGCAGGTTTTGGAGATTGAGAAACAAATACTCAAAATGAAACAAGGTGAGGATACTTTTTGAAGTTAGAACACATTTGCACCATTGGAATACACTATAGCCACACAATGAAGATTTGAGTACTGGGACCTTAGAGGCATCGAGTTGAAAGTAAAAATAGTTTGGTAAGCCCTATACAGGATTAATGTACACATCTTTACTAAAATATGTGATTTTCAACAATGCTATTTTGAAGGGCATAAGGAGTTGTAACACTGACTGGATTTGTATTACACCAAAGATGCATTAAACTAAAAACAAATTACACTCATTATCCAAGAATTCAGCCATTGTCTATTTGCCTGTGCTAGTATTGTTCAAATACTTTTAGTAAATTATGGAAGTTAAAAATAACAACTTACAATTGTTTTTAAAACTTTATATTAGGAAAAAGGGGAAAAAATCAGTATGGGCCTAACATTTAGGAACTAAATGTTAATAACCTGCAACACAAGAGCCAAAGAACTAGGTCACAGGTGTCAAACATAAGGCATGACGTTGCTGTCACGTGATATTTTGCGATGTTTTTCCCATTCACAGAGCTGGGGTGGGTGTGGTCTGTGTGTGATGTATCTGCCTGTTTGACACCCCTGAACTAGATAGTCCAGTATATTGTTTTTCACCTTGCTAATCAAATGGACTGCTTGCCAACAGACTTGAGGACAACTGCCATTTTCTGCTATTATTTCCTAGAGTCAAAATATCCACCGACAATTGAAGTAATGTTCTAGGTCTGGACAGTGTCTTCTGTAAATAGCATTTTATTTCCTGAAAATTAAAAAAAAAAAAAGTTTTAAAAAGGTAGTATCTTGAATAGTTCCTTGTAGTCATAATTATACATATAAAACCACTATCTTCTTAGTGTAAGACCAAGAACAATTCAGCCAAAGTTCAGTTTTTTACTGAACACCATGGACAAAATCTTGCCAGGCTAAACCTTTACTACTCTCACTCTAAAGGATATATCCTGGAGATTCTATCATTACTCTCTTCCTCCTCACTGGGCTGTGTCTCTTGACCCTTTTTCTAGAATATGCTCCCTCCTTCCTAGGAAACTGCTGCTTCACTATATTCCATCACACCAGCTTCCCTCTGTGGGCACCATCTCTCATAGGGAGCAACAGAATGTACCAGGAAAAGATCAGCTGAATTTGCCATAGCTTCCAATTAAAATAATGCCAAGCCATTAAAATTTATAATTTTCCTTAAGGTTACTGTTTTCAATTATCCTATTTTATAATGACCTTGAATGACTGCAGAAATGTTTTTGAGACTATCTTTGAAATTACTCTTATTTTAAATTTATTGAAGAAAGACATTTTGAAAGATATTTGATTGGTACTGCACACTACAGTATATTTTTCCATAACAATAATTTGCCTAATAAACTGGTAAATATTGACTGCCACATAGACATAGTCCAAGCTAAAGGCCTATAAAGTTAGCATAATTTGTGAACATTGATACAGATTTCAGCACACATCAGCTATAATTCATGTATATTCATATTCAAACTTTGTTCAATTCTATCAAAACTGTTTCATACCATTAATTAAAATATTGAGTCCTATAATAAAATGGACATGTTTCTTTTATAATCATTTGGTCATTCCTCACCACCTCAATTTTCTGAAAACGTTACTGACTAAATAGTGAAATCAATTATTCTCCCAACTGGGTGCGTAAATGTGGACTGAAGTCCATTCAGACATAATTTGAAATAAGCTCATGGAAAGTACCCCAGGTATGTATATGGATAAATCTGTGAAATTTATAAAACAGTAGAGGACTGAACTTTTGCTAAGCTATCACTCATTGAGTTCAAACAAAATGCTAAGCTCAAACCAAATAAACTATATTATATTTGAAAATGAAGTGTGAATTCAGTGATTGTCAGTAAGAGCCATGCCTCATAACACCCAAATTATACAGGATATTTATGCAGTAAAAATGTTTATAAAGCAAGGCTGACTTTTTCTACCTTTTTCTACTAATATAATTATCAGAATTTGAAGCACTGCAGAAAGATAAAAAGTTACTCCACTACTTTTCACAGAAATGTTGTACATAGGAATTGTACAGCTTTCTTTGTCCACATATATTCCCCAGCATGAGATACATCTGGCAGGTCTGCTGAGGCATTGATCAAATGATAGCATTCCTCCCAAATATTTGAACACCAACTGTTTGCAAACAGCCACAATTCACAAATCCTATTTTTACAATGGCAATATATGTCTAAATGTGCACGATGGTTTCTCCATGACTGATTCCAAGTCAGTGTTGGTGGGAAGGACAGTTTGAGCTGTGGGGCCCCAACCTTGTGGAAAACCAGCACATCAATTTGCAGGTGCCTAACTTTCTAGCCTTTGGAAAATCATTAAGATCTGGCTTTTTACTGAGGTGTTTGGATATTATGGGGAGAAAGCATGGAAGGAGAATAGCCTGCCGTGGGGCATCCCACAGGGAATAATTAATAAAGGACCTTGGGGATCTTCTACCAGTAGTCCCATCCCCTGCTCTAGCAGAAGACAGTACCATTCCAGGCAAGTTGCTGTCCAATCTCGTCTTTAAAACCTTTAATGATGGAGCACCCATAACTTCTGAAGGTAAGTCTTTCCATAGATCGTTCTCACTGTCAGAAAAAATCTTCTTAGTTTTAGATTGGATTTCTCTGATAAGTTTCCATCCTGTTACTTCTTGTCCTGGCTTCATGTGCTTTGGAGAATACATTGATTCCCCTTTCTTTGTGAAGCTCCTTAAATGTTCAAAGACTTCTATCATGTCACCCCTAGACCTAAGTTTTGTTAGTTCCTGCAACCATTCTTCATATGCCTCTAGTTCCCTAATTATCTTTGTTTACTTCTCTAATTAAGGTGCAGGTTTTTTGTTTTTTGTTTTATTTAGAGGTTTTATGGTTGTATGCCACCCAGAGTTTCTTAATATAGGCAGCCATATAAATCAAATAAATGAATAGCAATTACAGGAAGATACTTCTTGTCCTTATATTTGTGTTGCATTTTCCTCTTCAAAGTTATTTCTCTCATTCCAGCCTTTCTCATTTCTACAATGATACCGGAGAGTTAATAAAATGTTGGCTCTTAAATTAATTTTCTTGAAGGGTGACTATGCCATTACTTATTGGCTAATGGCCACCACTAATAATTATCATGGGAATTAGTTTATCTTGCACTTGGGCCAAATTCTCTCACTGATTGCTGATGATATATCAATTTTAAATATTCCAGAATCATTGGTTTTCATGTGATATAAACATTTAGAATATTACCATAGAATATTTTTTCTAACTCAGAATTTAAGAAGCTTCTTGGATGAGAAGCAAAATGTTTTCAAAGAAAAAATCAAGAATGTCCAGTTGTCTTTTGGAAAAAGCTCCTTTGGCACAACCATGATCTGGATGATTGAGAATCTCCATAGACATGAACATAGAGGGTTATTTTAATATAAATAGAAGTCCAATGTAAAAGATTTAGATTAATATTACCACTGAAAATTTCAAAGTATCTGTTGAAGAAACATTTCTGTTCAATGTTTGTACATCAATACAGAACAAAATAATGAACACAGTATGTACAGAGCCAAATGTTTCCAGCTTGAAGCTTGAGGTGGTGCTGTATTTCAGTTTTCCAAAGAGCAGTGCTATGCACTTTATGAAGTTTACTTTGCAATTTGCACAACTGACGGCTAGTCCCTCTTAAAGCAAAGCGTATCATGGAAATTAAGCAGTCAAAACAGCAAAGGAATTGCCAAATCTCTCTTCAGTTCTCTTGCTAATGTGTTCATATCTTTTTACCATTTTCTCCATTGCCACAAAACACATTAATTTTGCCTTCAAAATAGAATTATGCATACTCTCACTCCCTAACATTCCAGTCCCAGAGATCTTCTTCTAACCACCATTCTTTCTTCTTCTCCATGCCAAAAATACTAGGCACAGCTTTGGAGCCAATGTTGCACTCAATAGGCTTCCAGCAGTGCTGGGTGCATGTTTGATAAACAGGCAATAAAAGCTTATGGGGAATGCTGGGTTTAGGAAGAGCGTCAAAACAATTGTTCTGAAACTATGGATGTGTTGCTTTCTAAAACTCCACCCCTCCATACATTTCATAAGGAGGCTTGGAATGGTGACCAGTTTTGAAAGAGCATTAAAACTGCATTATTGAAGGCACAGTAAAGTAGGAGAGTGAGATCTAGTTATCTGACAAAACACCCCACCTCCTTAAGATACATTCCTACTATACCTTTGGGACTGGCAGATGATTTCCTGCCAGCTGCATCAGTGCAGTTTCAGAATTGGTGAGTAGACCTCTATTTCTCTGCTTTAACATGGAAGTAAAGCACTAGTAAAAACTCACAATTTCCCAAAACCCAATCTTTAATATTCTCAAAACCAGCAGAAGGTTTTCTGCTAGCTGATGATATTTGGAAAGAAGAGGAGCAACACTAGAGGGGCTAACCAATGTCTTTGATTAACATGCCTTTGAAGCCAAGGCACTACAGGTTATTCTTGACTTACAGCAGTTTGTTTAGTGAACATTCAAAGATATGATGGCCCTGAAAAATGTGGTTTATAATCATTTTTCACAGTTATGACTTTTGTAGCAGCCCCATGATCATATGATCAAAATTCATATGATCAAGATGCTTGGAAACTGATTCATATTTATGATTCATATTTATGACCGTTGCTATGCCTCAAGGTCATGTGATCACTTTTGTTATCTTCTGACAAACATAATTAGTGGGGAAGCCAGATTTATGTAAAACCGAGTTACTAACTTATCCGCTGCAATGATTCCCTTAAAAACTGTGGCAAGATAGGTTGTGAAATATGGAAAAACTCACTTAGCAAATTTCTCACTTAACAACAGAAATTTTGGGCTCAATTGTCATAAGTCAAGGACTACTTGTGCTGTTTTACAGTAAGTCTAAACAGTCTTTACATGCAGTCTGGGGCTGGAAATAGGGACTGTACCTTTTATGTTGGCCACAGTTTTCTGCCAACATACAGATCTATTGGTATCACTTTAATTCAGCTGTGTGGAAAATGTAGTGAGAATTCAGCCAGGACTGGGAAGACCAACTTTTTAAAATCTCTCCTTGATAATTAAATTATTCATGACTTAATTTAACTCTAAATTTACATTTTGTGCAAAGGTAATCACAATAACATTTGTTTGATTTACTATATTATATGATCCTAGCCACTATAATTTTGAAATCATGGCTTATTGCTTGGTATGTAATTGTA